CGGATGACCTTGCTGAAGAACACCCAGAGGTGATTTTGCTCTGTACGTCGATAATTTCAACTGAGAGTGTTCTCCGATCGTTGCCATTGCAGAGATTGAAGAGGAATACATTGGTAGTAGATGTGCTTTCGGTGAAGGAGTTCCCGAAAAGCTTAATGCTGGAGTTATTGCCTCCGGATTTTGACGTAATTTGTTCTCACCCAATGTTTGGCCCTGAAAGCGGTGCGAAAGGGTGGAATGAGCTGTTCTTCGTTTACGAGAAGGTTCGAATTGGGTCGGATGAATCTAGGGTTTCACGCTGTGAGAAATTTTTGAGTATTTTTGAGAGAGAGGGTTGCAGAATGGTGGAGATGAGCTGTGTGGATCATGATAGATATGCGGCTGAATCGCAATTCATTACTCATACGGTCGGGAGAGTTTTGAATATGTTGATGTTGGAATCTACGCCGATTAATACTAAAGGGTATGAAACTTTGTTGGATTTGGTGAAGAACACTGCTGCAGATAGTTTCGATTTGTATTATGGTTTGTTTATGTATAATAAGAACGCGATGGAGATGATCGAGCGATTGGATTTGGCTTTTGGAGCTTTGAAACAACAGCTTTTTGGGCGATTGCATGATATGGTGAGGAAGCAATTGTTTGGAAACGGTGAAAAGTTGCAAACATTGCCTGAAAATCCTCCTCAAAATGGGGCTTCTTTTGCACTGACAACTTATCTGGAAGCTACCAGGCAAGGTCCCATAGCCTTTCCTTTCAATGATGCTTAGATTATGCTTTTGTTCTTTGGTTCAAACATCTAATGGTGTTGTATGTTTGTGCTTTATTTGCTGTGCAATATGTCGAGGATTCGAGGATTGTTAGGAGGGAGTTCCATGTTAGCTAATTTAGGGAATGATCATGGGTTTGTAAGTAAGGAATATATATCCATTGGTACGAGGTCTTTTGGGGAAGCCCAAAGCAAAGCCACGAGAGCTTATGCTCAAAGTGGACAATATCATACCATACCATTGTGGAGATCCGTGATTTCTAACATGGTATTAGAGTCATGCCCTTAATTTAGCTATGTCAATAGAATCCTCAAGTGTTGAACAAAGAACTTGCTAGTCTCGAAGGTGTAGTCAGAAGTGATTCATGTGTCGAACAAAGGGTGTACTTTGTTTGAAGGCTCTAGAGAAATGAGTGGAGCCTCGATTAAGGGGAGGTTGTTCGAGGGCTACATAGACCTCAGGGGGAGGCTCTATGGTGTGCTTTGTTCGAGGGGAGGATTGTTGAGGATTTTTGGGAGGGAGTCCCACATTGACCAATTTAGGGAATGATCATGGGTTTATAAAGTAAGGAATACATCTCCATTGCTACAAGGCATTTTGGGGAAGCCCAAAGCAAAGTCATGAGAGCTTATACTCAAGGTGGACAATATCACAATACCATTGTGGAGATCCGTGATTCCTAACACAATATTCACATTAAACTTTTGGGTCGTCTTTCTTTTTGTGTCTGGATCAATGGTGGTTGGTCTGGTAGGGAGAGTTAGAAATCGTTTTCTTACAAAGATGTTCATGTTAGCAAAATAGTTTGAAGACGCTAATCCTTTCGATCCTCGTTAATTTCCTGAATATTATGTGATGTTTATATCCTGATTGGTTTGGATTGTGATTTGTTCATAAAGGGTTAGGCATAGAGAAAATTTTGTGCTGTTCCTTGTAAGTGAAGCTTCAGAAGAATAAACCCTCTCTCTATATTTCTTCAGGTTTCAGGACCTTTCTTCAACTTATGACATCAAAGCCACAAAACTTGAGAAAAATTCAAAGCTCAAGATTGCTGTTGTTGGATTTGGTAACTTCGGTCAATTTCTTGCCAAGACGATAGTAAAACAGGGTCACACTGTGTTAGCCTACTCGAGGTCGGACTACTCAGACGTAGCAGAAGAGATGGGCATCTCTTACTTTTCTGATATGGATGATCTATGTGAAGAACACCCAGAAGTAGTTCTTCTATGCACTTCCATTCTTTCAACAGAGAAAGTTCTCAGATCATTACCTTTTCGGAGATTGAAACGAAACACTTTGTTTGTTGACGTACTTTCCGTGAAAGAATTTCCAAGAAATTTGTTTCTTCAAATTTTACCCCCAGACTTCGACATCCTCTGCACACATCCTATGTTCGGGCCAGAGAGTGGTAAGAACGGGTGGAACGATCTTTCCTTTGTTTATGATAAGGTTCGAGTAGGAAATGAGGAATCGAGAGCGTTCCGTTGCAACTGCTTTCTTGATATATTTTCGAGTGAAGGGTGTCGAATGGTGGAAATGTCTTGCTACGATCACGATCGGCATGCGGCAGGCTCACAGTTCATTACCCATACAATGGGGAGAGTTTTAGAAAAGTTGAGTTTGAGCTCTACACCAATTAACACCAAAGGTTATAATACCTTGTTGGACTTGGTGTCAAACACTTCTGGAGATAGCTTTGATCTTTACTATGGTCTGTTTATGTACAATGCAAATTCCATGGAGCAACTCGAGCGGTTGGACTTGGCTTTCGAAGCATTGAAGAAGCAACTCTTTGGTCGTTTGCACGACGTTCTTCGGAAGCAACTTTTTGAGAATACAGATGGCATCATAGATGCACAGGAAGATTTAAAGATAATGCCATATCAGATCGGCACTGCTGCTCTAAGCTTCTCTGATTCTCGTGATCTTCGTTAAGAATCGACCTTCGCTTTCACTTCTTACTCTGTAAGTAGTGCATAAATTTACTTCCTTATTTAGGCAGAGAGCTGCATTGATTATCTGTGCTTGTTTTCATTGTTCTTAATGTTTTCACTTAGAGAATCCTCAATAGAAACTATTTTATGTTTTCAAAATTTCGCTTGGTTTTTTTAAAAAATAGGTAGAAGTAGTGTTCATAAGCGGGCGGTTTAGTGGGTGAACATCATCTATCTGGATAAAATATCGTCCTTCTCTTGCTATTTGACCCAAATCCACCACTAGCAGATATTATCCTCTTTGGGCTTTCCCTTTTGTGCTTCCCCTCAAGGCTTTAAAACGTGTCTGCTAGGGAAAGGTTTCCACATCCTTATAAATGGTGGTTTGTTTTCCTCTCCAACTAATGTGGGACATCACAATCCACCCTCCTTCGGGGCCCAGCATCCTCGCTGGCACTCTTTTCTTCCTCCAATCGATGTGGGACCACCCCCAAATCCACCCCCCTTTGGGGCCCAACGTCCGTACTGGCACACCGCCTCGTGTCTACCCCCTTCGGGGAACAGCGAGAAGGCTGACACATCGTCCGATGTCTCGTTTTGATACTATTTGTAATGACCCAGATCCACCGCTAGCAGATATTGTCCTCTTTGGGCTTTAAAACTCATCTGCTAGGGGAAGGTTTCCACACCCTTATAAATCGTGGTTTGTTCTCCTCCCCAACCAACATGGAACATCACATTAATTGAATGCAATGCGATCTTAGAAATGCAATAGGCTTAATTCTCTCTGATTTAGCTTTATATCATGCACTCATTTTCCACAACCATAGGAAATCTAGTTATTTCTGTTGTTGTATTTGGGTGTTTTTTCAGGAGTTCGGCATATCGTTCAGCCGCTACATTTCTTCGCTTGTTTTAGGTTTGCTGGTGATGTACATTTGTTTTAGCCAAGGTCGTCTAGACGCCGACCGAATCAGCCATGTCAACAGCACGGTTGGTTGTAAGCAAACTCTTCCTAAATTCGATGACCGATATGAACTGATATAAAACTGCTGCAGGGAGAATGGTGAGTAATTTAGGTGCCAATCTAGGTAAGGAGCTTTTATTAACACTAGGAGATGGGAACAGGATGAGTTAGAAGTCATAGTAGGAACAAATTCTGGATTAGACATGGAGGTAAGAATATCTTCTGGATTTGAGTTGGAAGAATTTGGGTTCAAGACAATAGAAATCCTCGGTTTTGTGTACGTGGATCGAGGAGAAAGGAGGCGTATACAATTCTTGCATGGGGGAATCTAGTTGAACCAAATCAAGGGTCTCAACCGAGTCTTGACTGACCTTCTCTTGTTTGTTCCTGCCTCTTGTCACGCGGTCAACCCACATTTGAGGATAAAGGGGCGCATACAATTCTCGCATGGAATAACCTAGTTGAACCGGATCAAGGGTTCTAACTGAGTCCAACTGACCTTCTTTGGTTGGCTCCCGCCTCTTATAGCATGGTCAACTAGCAATCGGTTATACAAATTATTGTAGAATTTTTTAGAAATGTATTGAGTTCAAGTCATTCGATCCCGTCCTAGTTCTCAATCATTTCATGGGTAGGTATCACTTGAATACGGGGTATTCAATAGTTGTATCAAATAAACCTGATCGGTTAACTTCTACCGTCCTACTTTAGTCCTTCTAGCCTTCTTTGCATCAGGTCTTCTCTATGCTTCACTTCTAATCAAAGCCATCAGGTTGCAAAATTTCTCATCCGCATCAATGATACAATACATTATCCGTTCATGTATTTTTACTAAATTTAATATTAATTCCGATCATTAATTTGAGTCGACCGTTCTTGAGTAAGATAGTCAACTCAAACTTGGATTACTAGTAGCAAAATGACCCATCACAGACCTCGACCTATTTTTGAAGTTTTTTTTGTAGAAAGCGTGATTAGACAATTTTAGCAAGCGTTTTGGTAATCATTTTTTAAAAAGTAGATGTTATATGCTAGCAAGCCATAGACAATATTAACACGGTTAGTATATAATCCAGGTAAATACGAGTCTAATCGCCAACAAAATTGATCGAAAGTAATTTAATAGGTTTGGAGTAGACATATTCTAAAGATTTTATTTCAATTGGAATTTGGTTATTCACTGTGTACGACCATCTTCGACAAGCATCCATGATCGAATGGTTAAAGCGTCCAATTAAGAATGGGCGGATTACGTCTATAGGAATTGGCTCGATGGATTGTGGCTACTAGCAACACGACCATAATTAGGACAAATGGCAGACTTATGTGGTCCGGTCAGCTCCCTCCCACCCCCCAACCATCGCCGCTCCTTCAACCGACGTCTTTCCTTCTCGCTCTTCCCGCTAAAACAATAGACCCCATAATAACAACACCTCACCCCAAAACTCGAAACCTCAATGGCGGAATTCTCAGTTCGACCCCATAATAACCCCTTTCTCCGTCACTCGCTTGATTTCTCATTCCCATCTCCTTCGATTAAGCATCTGATTTCACTGTGGCACCAAGGAGAAAGAAAATGTCAAGGTCAACGAAGAGATTTCCCCTGTTCTTTTCCGTCTCCGTGTCGATGAATCGGGGCGAATTGGGTCCATTACGAAATCTAAAAACGACTCGAGCTATGGAAATGGATTGGATGAAGTGGGGTTTGATTCGAATTGGCCGCCGTGGAAGAATGCTCCTGATAGATATAAATTGATCGGAACCCCAGCGCTTGCCTTCATTATTTCCAACATGTATAAGGTTTGTTCCTCTGTTTTTTTTTTTTGTGAGTTTTGGATTTGATCGAATGAAATGTTGATGGGTATTGACTTTCGTTATGATTTGTTCTGTTTTGAGATGTTTTTGTGTGTGTTTGGGCTTTTTTTGTTGTTAGATCATTGGTTGCTAGATTTCCAATGTCGCGCCTGCTTGGGGGAATTCTTTGCTTTGTCCCAGTTGCCTGGTCGGTGGCTTGCCTAGATATTTGGAGGGAGGTCAGTATTTAACTATCATTGTTAGCTGGTTTATTGTTTCTTTAGTGAACCCATTGTTTTCTGGTGTTTTACTTGATCATTGAATTCATTGGCTGAATATTAAGAACTATCAACCATTTTGCAGCAGGGCTTCTTCATAGGTTTCCTATAAATAGATTTTGTGATAGAAATTTTGAAGTGTTTGTTCGAGATGACTTGGTTCCTTTGCTTTTTGATAATGATTTTATTCTTTGTTTTTCACTTCTTAAAATTTGGCTATGGTTTCATCGTGGTTCATAGCAGCTGTTGATAATGTATCCTCTTTCTTACAACTAGAAACCATTCAAATTTAGGATTCTATCCTCCCACCCCGGGCTTGAATCTCGAAGGTCTTGGTAGGATTCTTGCTGCAGCGGATCTCCCGTCTTTGGGAAAGCTGGTGGCCGCGAGGGAAAGAGTTTGAGCTCAATGCACCTGAACCCCGAACCATCTTTTTTGGTCGTTGTTCTAGTCGAGCATTCTCTTTTCTTTGTCATCGAGCAGCGGCATTCTCCCAAAAAAGTAGGCGTTTAATCTAATGATTGCCATCTATAGAACTTCTCTAACGAGGAAAAGGAACATCTCTCTCGATTAGGAACTCTTAGTGGAGCTGATGGTGAGATCGAAACTTCATTCTACAAGCACTCCTCTATTTGAATGAATTTTTTGAGTGACGAGCATTGCATCGCAGTTGGCCGATGACACTCCAACAGTTTCTTTTCAAGAAACATTCTATTCATAATTTGTGTGATCCTCTTCTGTTGTCCTCCATATAGGTAAGAAAGATTTCCCCAACAATTGCCTTTGTGACCCCTGCAGTTTGCATGACTTTGTTCTCTGTTGATTTAGGATTGCCTCCCTGGAAGGTGTAGGAATATTAACCAGTGACTTGGCCCTCTCTAGTTTTGCGTTATCTAATGACAGTCTAACGTCGACACGTTCAGTTCTCGGATTCTTTTTCGAAGTATTTGGATTGAAATTCCCATTTTCCATAAGGTACCAAGAGACTTTACTTCCTGTACTCATCAAGATACTGTCCTTCTCGTAAGTAAGCTCTATAATATCCCAATTCGTATTAACCTTAGTAGTTCATGAGGTCAATCTTTGTACGTCTCACCTTCAAAATTATCTTCAGGGCATTACGAACACCATCGAAGCAATACTCGGGATTGTAGGAGTTGCTTTCACTGGCTTTCTTCTTGAATCAACTCATGGAGTTTTAAGTTGGCAACCTTTTTGTTCTATACCACGTTTTATATTCCATTTGTATTCGTGGGCTTCTTAAGCACATCATCAAAATTTCCCGTTTGTTATGTGTAGATCTCATTGATCAATCTTATTACATGAAGTTCCTGATCAATCTTATTACATGATGTTCTTGAGGAAAAGTCCAATACGAGCCATTAACTGCATCTCCTCCTGCAAGAAAAACTCACAATAGAATAAGTGGTCCTTGCATGGCTTCGGTTTCGATGAGAATGGAAATAATTCAGCAACCCAAAAAATCTCTTCCAACAAAAGATGAAATTCCATGAAAGAATCTGTACTAGCCCAAGACCCGAATATTCGGAGGCATTCGCTATTTCTTCTGACCGTCAACCTTTTCTTCTCAGAGAGTCTGGCCACGTTCTTGATTTACTAGTGGAAACTAGGGATTCGTAAAAACGGCGAAAGAATCGCTTTCAATGAAAATTACTCTTTGTCAAGGCCAGAATAATCTCGCAAAAGGTGGATTATTCCCCGCCCCAAAACTGACCTGTTTGTATCTTCGGCTTATTATGCTACCAACCGAATGATTTTCCATTAGTAAATGTATTTGTTCACCTCGAAAAAATTAACCAAATATGACAATTGTTTTCTCTTATTAGAAAATCACCAATCTGGAACTGATTTTCAGTTCCATACATCGCCTTCTATTCTATCTGCAAGCAGGGAGAACAATATTTGGCATGTGAATGAATACAATTGAAAAGGGAGCCACCATTATTGGTTCAGATGAATTTACATACTGAGGTTCCAATGAAGGTATGTTCCCCGATGAATTTACAGACAAAATCTTTCCATTTAGCAGCATAGTTTGACTATGCAGGTTCCCATCCTTAGCTGTTAGATGATATTCCTCTCTGAATGCTTCGCCTTCAATACCATGAGGTCGAGGTATTCGAATGACCTTCGGTTTATGGTTATAGGATCTGTGTTTATGGTGCAATCGTCTCGGTCTCGTTCTGTTGTATGAAATTGCAGCATGAACTGTGGTATTACTGTCTAGGTTGAGCAGTAATAACGTGAATCCTCTCTGTAAGATTGAAAAGTTGAATCAGAGTGGAGAAACTCGTGTCATTTATTCATTTTCTTGTTTTTGCATTCGGTTATATGGATTTCTACTTACAGACTGCTTAGAACAATGTGCATACGCTCGTATTTTCTTCGTCCCGTTAAAGCTTGTGGACAGAACATTTCTTCCCATCAAGCGATGCCATAGGAGTGCACTGAAATGAAGAAGGGAAACACGAAACAGGCATAGCTAATCGTTAGGATAATTGTCTAATAGCAACGGGGAAGAAACGAAGCGTTTAACGTCGGAAATATTGCTTCTGGTTGAAGCAACTTTCAGTACAGAAATTCCAATAGTACTCACCTGTAATAGTCTGGATTTGGTTCGAAGGTGGTCGTGTTCAGTAAACCATAGTTTCCACCGATCAAGGTTTGCCTGCAGTACGTTTTCGTATCGTAGGCGGCCGACATACCCAGCTGGTCCAAATACCTGAAAAATTACACACATCAAAGAGCTATTTAGAATGAGAAGGTCTTGAAAAAACCAAACATGGATGTTTTCCAGAATCTAGATTACCAGAAACTAAAGACAAATGCATTTGTGACCAGATTATGGCCACTGTTGTAAGCCCCTCCCGCTTCCCCAACCCATGCTTTAGCTGAAGTAGGCGAGTTTCTTAGGATCTCATGGAGCTTGTAAAATGTATCGGCCATCCCGTCAAGATAGGATGGGTCAAGAATCCTTTCGACGAGATGCTCATCGACTCCTGTTGACAAGAAATAGGTTCGGTATCAACGCACTTGGACATGAAACTTCATAAAACTCTTATTTGGCTACTGGATGATACCTGGTCCTAGATTGTATATATGGTGTGTGACAACATCAAGTGATTGGGTTGTTTTGTCAATGAATTCCTTGAACCAATTTTCATCAAAGAATCCTCCAGGAGATATGATTAACGGCTTATATTCAATATCCTTGTAGATACTTTGGACCATGTTCTGAAGAGCAATTGTATCAGACGCATATTGCTCTGCGGTGACTCTTGTTCCAACTCCATTCCCACTCAATTCATTTCCTAATCATAAGGAAACGGATAATCAATCATAAATTAGAACATATGAATCCTTATGAGTTATATGAGATGAACTAACAAGAATCCAATTCTCTATTTCTATTTCTGTTTATGTGAGATCCCACGATCCCACGTTGGTTGGAGAGGAGAACGAATCACCCTTTATAAGGGTGTGAAAACCTTCCCCTAACAGACACGCTTTAAAAACCTTAAGGAGAAGCTCGAAAGGGAAAACCCAAAGAAGACAATATCTACTAGCGGTGGGCTTGGGTCGTTACAAATGGTATCAGAGCCAGACACCAGGCGATGTGCCAACGAGGAGGCTATCCCCTGAAGGGGGGTAATAGACATGAGGTGGTGTGCCAATAAGGACGTTGGGCCTCGAAAGGGGGTGAATCTGGTGGGTCTCGATTGGAGAAAAGAACGAGTGTCAACGAGGATGTTGGGCCCTGAATGAAGGTGGATTGTGAGATCCCACAATCCCACATTGGTTGGCGAGGAGAACGAAACACCTTTTATAAGGATGTGGAAACTTTCCCTAGCAAACTCGTTTTAAGAACCTTGAGGGGAAGCCCGAAAAGGAAAGCCCAAAGAGGACAATATCTACTAGTGGTGGGCTTGAGTCGTTACAGTTTAGTACAACCATAATAGGATATGATATCGAGCATCAAGAAAAGAAGTAGCAGTTCTTACCAAGCTCCCAACCATGAATTGTGTAGTTCTTTCTAACAGTATAGCGTACGAACGATTCAGCATTCGTGTGATCCCAAGCTCCTACAGCAGACCCATCCAACGCAATTTGTCGTCCATTGAGAGCGTTTAATCCAAAGATAACCTTCACTCTGAATCGACTCAAATAGCTTCAGCATTCAACTTTTGTGAAATCCAACATTATAAGAGCAAAATAGGATGAAACTTTCATTACCCTCCTTTCTTGAAGAACTCATTCAGTTCATCCCATCTTTTAGCTGATAAGCAACCTTGACTGTAACCAAATAATTCTGTGGTGTTTCTTGATAAATAAACACATGACTGCTGGTGATCTTCAGTTTCATATATGATCTTATCTTGCAAAGTACCACCCAATCTAAGCTTGAGGGGTTTAAATTCTGCACCATTCATGAAAAGCTATTAGTTCTAGTTCGAGAAGACTTGACCCGTGTTCGAATCGAACTTGTGAAACCTACCTTTTATATTAGAATGTTAAATATGAGCTTTTCGAACTCGTAAACGTACGAATCGACATAGATTATATAAACATAGATCTTTGTAGTCCATTTAGACTTATTAGGCATAAAAAAATCCAAACCTTTGACTGCATTTAATAGAACGTTGTTGCCCAGATCCTGCAATTGAAAGACAAACAACAGGAACTTAAATATTTTAAGTACAGCTCTAGATAGATCATAGGAAGACATTAAATAGTCAAGACCTTATAAGAATGATACACGAAATGCAAGAACATCAAAGAACTTTCACTTTTCATAAGCAATAAATACACAAATCATGAACACTTCAGATGCCAAAACTTGAAAGTACCACAAAAAAGACATCAGCCTTTCATAAGAACAGACGTAGATCGATATGAATGAGCTTGAGAATCATTAGAAGTGTTTGAAAAGGTTACCAGATTGAGCAGAGAAGCTCGTCCCCAGCTGCAGGTTCCATAATCGCATTTCTCAGGAGGCCACCAATCAAGCGTAGCACAAACGAAATCTTCATCGATACCTCCAATGGCGGATTTCCCATCGATCAAAACCCTCCCTCGCACAAACCCATCTTCTTCCAAACCCAAACCCTTGGAGTTCACAGAGCCACAAAACAAGAAACAGACCCAAAAACAAAACCCCACGAGCCAAACACGAAAACCCATTACCAAAAACTGGCTGAAATGGCGGACAAAGCTCAAAGGACAGAGGAGAATCCCATTAATAAAGGGAAGAAGAGGGAGTGTGAGGAAAGGAAGAAACGAATATAGAGTGAAGAGAACTTATAGAGACTTGGAAACTAAGAAATGAAGAAGAAATTAATGGAGCATTTAACGACATGGATGGCAGATCTGCACTAAAGAAATGGCAGAAATGAAACCCATCTGTGATTTTCTTTTGCTTTTGTGCCTCTTCTAGGGAAGGTAATGCTCTGTTCTTCTTTTTCTTGTTTGATGGAGAGATTATGAAGAATGCTTAGAAAATGGGGGAATTTGGTAGTGATTTTGACAAGCTTTTGGTTTCTTTTTGGCTTTGAACTTACTCTATGTGCTTTTATGAGCTCTGCCATTTCAACTAATTTCTCTTCTTTCACTGTTCTTGTTTCCATCTTTCTAAATTTTGAACTAATTCCAATGTTAGCTTTATCTTTAATGGATGAATTTTAATTCATTTATGCATATATATCAAACTATTTCTGTTTTTAGTTCGGAAACGTGAACGTTGTCAAATGGATCTTTCACGGTTTTTAAAATTTTGAGTTGGTTCGGTAAGTCCCAAGACATCTAATACAAGTATGTCAAACTAAAGACAACGAAACTTATCATCTACGGAAGCTTTGTACCTAACTAAACCAGATGCATGCTAGACCAAATTCTCTCTCAGTCACCCTTCGTTCCCTAATTCTTTCGAAAAACAAGGCATCTCATCTCGCTCGAGAATGAAAATGGTGTTTTTTTACTCAAATTCTTAGGCTCGAGAACGAAAGATATTTTATGCCATTAGATTAGGGTTTTTTTGGGTTAGATTGTGACCTTAGAGGAGATATGTTGAGCCATGCACCTCCACCCAAAAAGAAAAAGTTGATCACAGGTCACATTAGAGTGCATAAAATAAAATTTAAAAGAAGAAAATTCGGATAATAATTGAATAAAGTAACCAAACATGTGATCTTTGTATAAATCATGACCAAACAGATCAAGTTGGACAGCTACCCAGATTTTTTTAATTAAAAAGTTTGTTCTTTTTGCCCTTTTTTTTAATTATTATTATTGTTTCTTTTAATCGAAGGATCGAGGTTCAAGAGCTTAGAACATTAAAATATTGTACTAAGAAATCTACTAGGGACACCCTTTTGATCCTAAAATATTAGTTTACGGAGAAGTAAAGTTGTTTTTTTTTTTTAAATTCATTATCCTAAACCTTAAACCCTAAACCCGAGATTAAATAGTTTATTGAGGATCATAGGCACATTCAATCTAGGGTTTTATTGTAATGTTTTTATAAAAAGAAGAGTTCGAAAAATTCAAAATATAATTTCTCAATCTTCCACTCGACCAATTATATTTGATGATATGGTCGAAAGATAGGGTGGGTGACCTAACCCGGGTCAAACTTTGAGTAGTTATTTAGGCATCTATGGTTCTCCAACCTAATTTTATCCACTAAATTTTTTAGAATTCTTTAAAGCTACTCCATTCTTAGACCGTGCTCCAAAAGTCGGGGATAATTATTCTTCAATAACATTTACAATGGTACATCAGCTTGGTAACGTACCCCTTGACCAAGCTGAGTATATGACTTAGTAGCTTACTCTCTCAACCAGAGAGTAGCTTCTTTGGTCGAGTGGTTAGAGGTTCAAATCCCTCCTCCTATGTGGTTGAACTAAAAAAACACAGTCATCTTACGTTACAGTATATGATTTGTAACTAAAAGTTGATGTCTTAAGAACACTTAACCCTTTATACGATAAGGGCATAGGAGTCGTATCTAAAATATCTGTGATATCCCACATTGGTTGGAGAGGAGAACGGAACACCCTTTATAAGGGTGTGAAAATCTTCCCTTAGCAGACGGGTTTTAAAGCCTTGAGCGGAAGCCTGAAGGGTGTGGAAACCTTCCCAAAGAGGACAATGTCAGCTAACGGTTGATCTGGGTCGTTACAATATCAAATCTCGAGAACAATTTTAACAAGATTACGACCTTGTTTGGAACAACTTTTATGTGTTATAATGTTCTTAGACAGTTAAAAGGTTATTTTAAACCTGGCCTACAAAAATCGACAACATTACATTATTTATGTTCGCGAGATCACATTTTAATGTATCTTTTGCTTAATAGCCCGGTACGTTATTCAATTAATGTTTACTATGCATGTACTATATCATTTATTATGCAATAGATCTGACATAGGCATTTATGATCAAGGAATGGGAAACATATCATACCTTGTTTTCTTCATTTATGTCGGGCTTTTCATATTTTCTACCTTTTGAGATATTTATTTATTTTTATCTTAGATTTCGATGCTTATTCAATTTAAAACAACTAAGATTATTAAAAGAAAATTTCGTGTTTCAATTGGTTGCAGGTTGCAGTATCGAGAGCCTTCAATAAAGGTAGACATGTATATCTCGATAGTAGCTAACTGAGTATGAACAATTACACGAAAAATGTCAATATCGATTCTTATTTATCTTTCTGTCCTCGATAAAAAGAATTGTTTTCTTCAATAAAAGAAGAAGGATGTTGCTATAGGGAAGCAAAAATCTTTTGGCTTAACTCAGGATCAGGCATGGGATGATCTGTAGGTGATCTGTTATTGTCTGCCTCGCCTTGTCTCCTTATTCCTGGTCTTATACGAATTCATTAGGAAATTAAAATAAAAAATTTAATAAGAGATTAAAATATAAATTTATAATTTACATAATATTTTGTATCTTTCACGTTGCTTATAAGATCATTTTTATAAAAATAAAAAAATAAAAAATCGAGGATTTTTCTAAAATTAGAAATTTTTTAATTATATAAATACAAAAATTGTTATATTTGGATTTTAAATAAAAAAATATTAGTTGGAACAATGATTTGACGTGTCCCCACTATATCAAACTCAACCAAATAATAATAATAATAATAATAATAATAATAATAATAATAATAATAATAATAATAAAGGACTTGTCAGTCGATCATTAATGGCTCCTGCGATTTTTGTTCCGGTAATTTTAATTTTTAAGTGTAGATTTAGCATTAATTAATTTCTTCAAATAATTTTTTTTTTTTTTGTTAATTTACAAATTTCATCGATAATATTTTTAGAAAAATTAATTTAGTTTTTATGATTTTAAATTTTTAATTAATTCCAATTATTGGATTTTTGTTTTAAGATAACCTCGATAGTTTTGAAAGTTTGATCCCTACGAGTAGTTAAACCTCACAATTTATCTATAAATTTTGTTTTACGAGAGACTTGGTTGGAACTAATTTCACTGAAAAAAGCCAACCTCTGAAAGTACGTGAGGAAGTCTTCTTGGGTCATCAGATTAGGGCACATGATTTCATACGACGGATTCTCCTTTTGTGGATTCACACCGAACCTCGTGTTTTGAACTCACGAAACCCAGTAACTAGCTCGTTGTCTTTAGTTTTGGAACTTGCAGGTGATAAGGAGAATTTGATTAAATCTATGATTGAAACCGACCCGTTTACACCTCTAACCTTGAATCGAAATTTGTTGTGTTCTTACCTTAATCGAATTTGGTTCCCGATCTCGGTCGAGGAATCCACGAAAATATAAAGGTACCAACTATTTTAGGAAAAGAAATTGTTACATATAATATGGATCCACAACATCACAACACATAAGAAGGGAAGTTCATTACCAACAAGGACAACAACAATGTTTCTACCCCTAAACCAAAGGCTAACACTAGCTAAACTCCCCTCACTACTCCGAAACTCGAAACTCGACAATGGGGAGAGCCAATGGACATCCTCACTTCCTCTTCTTGGTGGGTGGCTGAGGCGTTTCCTCCTCGTCATCTTCATCGTCCTCATCTTCTTCCTCTTCCTCATCGTCATCGTCATCGTCTCCATTGTCATCGTCATCGTCTTCATCTCCATTGTCATCATCACCTCCAGCTCCTCCATCGCCATTTGCTTCAGGGTCATCCTCAGGATCACCGTCATCTCCTTCTTCACCTCCGGAGAAATCTTCATCATCGTCATCGTCATCCTGATCATTCGCGTCATCGTCGTCGTCATCTTCATCATCGTCCTCGGTTTCACTGCCATCTTTGTTTTCCTGGTCGGGGCGTTTCTTTCGGTGAAGTTCGGCAAAAGGGAACCTAGAAGAGGAGAAAAGGCCAGTAATCTCAGAACCAACCTAAACTTATTTAAAGTGAAAACACATAAATGACATTAAATTTCATTACATTTCCTCAATTGCAGCAAATCCTGGTAGAGCATTGGCATCGTTTAACAGAGCTCCTGCCTGAAGAACAAACTGAATTAAAGTCTCAAGCAAGTTGTTTCTTATTGTCGGAATTGTCCCAAACAAGATTAAGAAATTCCACACCAAATAATAAACTTCAAAGAAGATTCGAAGCAAAGCATCGGATTGAAAAACAACACTTCCAGTTATGGGTTGACTGAAACGTCTAAACCGATATGCCTCGTCAAGCCAAATCATTAGTCTAACTGGATAACTAAATAAAATAGATAAACCCTTCTCTTCATCTTAGGTCGACGGTGAGAAGATCTCCTATATGGATAATACACATTCCAGTTCAACGAGCCTAATTCTAATTGTTTTGTTCCAAAGCAAACCACGGGGCAGTTTGTCCTATTTAGATATTCACGCCTAAAAAACACTGGATTTCTTTCGGGAAGGCCCTAAAAGGAGAAGGAAGGTTGGAATGCCAACAAACGTCTATTATGCAATAGAGTCACAAAAATTGTAGGACAAAGTGAGAATGTAAGTAACTTGAAATCAATAGTCACCAAATTATGGAATTCGTGTGAGATTCGCTGTCCCGTTCTGTAATGAGTCGATCGATTCAATGAGATGTTGGGACAGGAAGAACTTGAGAGTAACAAACAAGTGCATTTGAACTTCCTCGAGTCAAGGAGCCAAAAAGGAAAATACCCAGAAGAAATTAGAAAGCAAGAGTTGATTAGACAATAAATTCTAAAGAAGTGAAAATCAACTTCCCGCAAGAACCACCAAGTGCAAAGGATAGCTATAGCTTGATGAACAAAAAGCATTTGAAATGAACAAGATTAGATATCAATTGTCGTCAGCCTCACGGTTTTAAAACGCGTCTATTAGGGGAGGTTTCCACACCCTTATAAGGAATGCTTCGTTCTCCTCTCCGACCGATGTGGGATCTCACAATCCACCCCTTGGGGAGCCAACATCCTTGCTAGCACACCGTCTAATGTCTAGCTCTGATACCATTTGTAACATCTCAAGCCCACCGTTAGCAAATATTGTCCACTTTGGCCTGTTATGTATTGCTATCAGCCTCACGGTTTTAAAACGCATATACTAGAGAGAGGTTTCCACACCCTTATAAGGAATGCTTTGTTCCCCTTTACAACCAATGTGGATCTCACATATCCTGTATAATTTAACTATATAATGGCAAAATCCTGACAGAGATGTCTTGTTCTCGGCCAAAACGTCACCAAAACGTGAGAAAAAAACATGCCCTCCATCCACATTTATCACTAAAACAAACACTTCGCTTCAAAACAGGTCAATGTTCATCATTTTCAGCTAAAATTTCACGTATGTAGCAGCACCCAATAAAGAACAATGACAGAGAAACCCTGTTGTTAGTAATGGAAACACCATAACCGGAGAAGAAAACAAACAAGTTAGAGTAAAACCAGAAGTAACAAAGCGAAAACTCTTGACCTACAAACACCAATAAAGTAAAGAACAGCACAAGAAAATCCAAAGGGCAGAGAAACTTAAGCTCCTAGAAGTAAGAACAATGACCAAAATCAGTAGAATCCATAAAAAACTAAAACCCCATCAATGAGTAATATGAAAATGAGGGTTTACCGCCGCCAGAAGGCAAGCTAGGGAGTTCGCAGTGGTGAAAACAGTCTCCACCGCGATTGCTTCCAAAACAGAGCGAACCCACATGGTTCTGTCGACGAAGCCCACGCCGCCCAACTCCATTGCCGCAACAATAACCTCAAAAGTGAAGAGAAAGAGGCACTAGCACGAAAGAGAGAGAGAGTGAAAGAGAGATGGGCCTGGCAGTGATTCACAGAGAGAGAGAAGGTGAGTGGGTTTTCTGAGATTTGGGAGAAGAGTTGGGTTTAAGTCCAGTTGGGGTAAACCCTAGGCTTTGGTCCGATTAGGGCTCTTCATTTTGTTTGCTACTGAAATTATATATACATATATATATATATATGTATGTATATGCATATATATATATACATATACATATACATATACATATACATATATACATATACATACATACATACATACATACACATATACATATATACATACATACACACATATACATGTATGTATGTATATAAAACTTTTCAAATTTTGTGAATTATATATAATTCACAAAATTTGAAAAGTTTTATATTTTATTTTAATTAGAAGCTCGAGGTCAAAACCGAACTTCGGTTAGTTAACTAGTTGAGTTATACTTGGGTTAATATATTTTTTTTTAATAATATTTGACAATAATAAATGTTTTGACGATTTAATTTATATTCAGATTGGAAGTCATTTTTACTCTAAACGTTAGTATGTAATTATTTAATCTTTGCAATTTAAAATTTATAATAACTATTGAGCGTGGAGTTATTGAATAGGTTGAGAGATATAGTGTAACGACTCGACTTATCATATAAGTAGCGGTCAAGGTCGTTACGAAAAATAATGTGATTTATTTGAAAGGGAATGAAAACCATGCAAAACGATCATTTATTAGAAATAAAGTGCGATGAACGTGGATAAAACACGTGACCTTCAAATCTTCAGTCTAACCCTAGGAGACGCGTTTTAAAGCCTTGAGGGAAAGTCCAAAGAGGACAATATATGCTAACGGTGGGTCTGGGTCTTTACAAATGGTATAAGAGCCAGACACCGAATGATATGTCAGCCTTCTCGTTGTTCCCTAAAGAGGGTAGACACGAGGCGGTGTGTCAGTAAAGACGCTGGGCTCAAACGGGGGTGGATTTGGGGGCAGTTCCACATCGATTGGAGGAAGGAAAGAGTGCTAATGATGAGGTTGGCCCCAAAGGGGGTGGATTGTGATGTCCCACATTGGTTGGAGAGGAGAACAAACCACACCCTTTATAAGAGTGTGGAAACCTTCTCCTAGAAGACACGTTTTAAAGACTTGAGAGAAAGCTCAAAGAGGACAATATCTACCAGCGGTAAGCCTGGATCGTTACATATAGTCTGTCCGACCCAAATCCAAAATAAGTCAAAATAGTTGAGAGGCTGGTCGCAGAAAGATAAGTGCTTTAGGTAAAGTCGCCCATCGTTCAGTGAGGACTAACCCCATGGGACTCGACCAAGACTAAGAGTTTGACTCGTGGGTGTCGATTAGAAATTAAAAATGATAGAAAATGAGCTTTTTTTATTTATTTTTTATTATAAACTTTAAAAATGTCGAATAAATTATTGTTTTTTAATTCTTTTGAATTTAAAAAAATGTTTCACAATTTTTTTTAAATGTAATTGGATATATATATATATATATTTTTTAATCTATGGACTTAATAATCTTTAATTTTTTTTATTTTTCAGTCATAAAATTTAATTTTTTTGAACATTTAAATATAAAATAAAAGATTTTCAAGACTATTATTATTTTAAAAAATGAGGGATTTATTAGATAAATGTAAAAAGAAAAATAAATAAATAAAGTAATTTAAGATAAAAATGGTTAATTTAACCTAAAATTAGTTTGAAATTAAAAATTAAATTAATGAAATTGTGAAGTGAAATTTCTATTAAAGAGCATCATCGTCTTCCCTAATTTTCTGTGGTTCCTCTGCGAACTGAGCTCTAGCGAAATGCTGAGAAGACAACCCAGCAAGATCGAGGTCAAAATCGAAGACAAGGAAGAACTCGAACAAGCTCGTAAACGCGCCGCCGCCGCCGCAGCAGCAGCCGCCGCGTCCACCACCACCGACACAACTTCCTCCGCCGCCGCCTCCCTCCTGCACAACCTCAATCGCAACAAAGATCCGACTTCCAAAGCTCAACGCCTTGGTATCTCTTGAAATAATCGAAATGGAGGTGGAAGTGAAGCTTCGCCTTCCGGATTCGGTTTTTCATGGTCAGGTTTCAACTCTTCTTTCGTCGTTCCATGTTAAAACACATCGCCAAGAGAATTTCTTCTTCGACGGCTCGTCTGGTGAGCTTTCGGCTCGCCGAGCGGTTCTCCGTATCCGATTCTACGATGGCGATGCCCGTTGTGTGATCTCTCTGAAAGCCAGAGCGGTTTTGGTCGACGGCGTAAGTCGAGTTGAAGAGGACGAGGAGGAATTGGAGCCATCTGTTGGGCGGGCCTGTGTGGAGAATCCGCAGAGATTGAAAGAAGTGGAGTCTAGAATTATGGGAAGGGTTAAAGATGAATTCGGGCCTTCTGGATTTGTAGGGTTGGGAGGATTTGGAAATGTGAGGGGCGTGTTTGAATGGAATGGATTGAAATTGGAACTGGACGAGTCTAGCTTTGAGTTTGGGACTTTGTATGAGATTGAGTGCGAAAGCACTGATCCAGATGCAGCGAAGAAGATGATTGAGGACCTATTGAAGGAGAATCAAATTGCGTATGGGTATTCTGAAGCTTCTAAGTTCTCTATTTTTCGATCTGGGAAGCTGCCATAGGTAAATTGTAAGTAAATTTTCTGGTTTTTCTATGAAGCGTACCTTTCTCTTCTCTTGATTTCGAGTTTCAGCATTAGATTGTTTTGTACTTGTTCAAGTAAATGGCATTTGATGATAGAAACATAATCAGATTTTGCAGGGAAGAGAAAAACTCAAGCAATTTGTTTGAATTAGCAACAGGGGTGCTTGCATTTCTTTGAATTGCATAAGGGGTGTAGTATATTGTAATTGTTAACTATCAATCATCCCTTTAAACTTTTGTCATACAAACTTGTTTGAAGATAATGGAAGAATTGATAACATGAAATCGTAGATCAAATACTGGCAATCCAAATAGCAAAAAGTATAGTTCATAGTTATTAAAATGTTCTTCACATGATACATTTTGAGATCATGTTTTCCATAATTCAGGTTCTGTATGATAAGATGGCGAAGATGGCGATTACTCGGTTATCTTGAACGTGTAATTCTTAGTTCGATATGTTATCCATATTCTTTTGAAAAAGGGATTTGAGTAATTTGATATCTTCAGGGTTCGAATATCTTACTGCTTCTTAGGCTGCATCTCTATATTTACTCCTTTGATCTTTATTGTTTTTTTTTCTGGTTTTAGTGATTCAAGAATGACAGATTCTCATCTCTTATTCTTATTACGAGGGACTTTCCCTAAATTAGCGGAGGTGGAGGGACTTTCCCTAAATTAGCGGAGGTGGAGGGACTTTCCCTAAATTAGCGGAGGTGGAGGGACTTTCCCTAAATTAGCGGAGGTGGGACTTTCATCATCCAACACCTCCCCTCGAACAAATTACGCCTCCCCTTAATTGAGGCTCAACTCCTTTGGAGTCTTAGTCATTTTTTACTATGGCTTCGAGGAGAGTTGACTCCTTTTCTTTTGGAGTCCTTTGTTCGACATTTGAGGATTTACCAATCTATTGGCACGACTAAGCTTAGGGCATGGCTCTGATACCATGTTAGATGAACACAACTCTCCACAATGGTATGATATTGTCCACTTTGAGCATAAGTTCTCATGGCTTTGCTTTGGGCTTCCCCAAAAGGCCTCATACCAATGGAGAGAGTTTTCTTTGATTATAAACTCATGAACATTCCCTAAATTAGCCGATGTGCGACTTTCATCATCCAAGAGTATACACATTTTGGGATGTTTCGATTGATGAGATTTTGCTGTTCTCAATTATGATTTCTCTACAAGTTCTGATGATTTCTTGTTCTCAAGGATCTCGAACTTGTCAATGGCTTCTCTAACTTTTCCTATCCTGTTTTCATTTGTTTAGAATATGGTTCGTGTGGCTTCGGTCGGCTGAGGGCTAAGAGATCTTGTCGATGAAGCGAAATGGAGACTGATAACCAAGGACACGCCATTGTGTTCTTCATCAAGTATCTTAAAATACATTCCGCTTTTACATTATACATGAGTATTGCACATTGAGAAACATAATTTGCTGATATTTGATATGATTATCTTTGAATGAAGCTTGTCTGCTTTGTTGCATTGCTTGTGGTTGAAATGGATTGATTTAGTTGAATAAGATGGTTCTCTTTGAGAGGGGATAGAATAAAAACTAGAGAATTGGCTTCTTATTTCCAAGATTTGTCTCTACTTGGGGTCAATCCAGTCTATGTCTCAATGTTAGGGTTTACGTTCTTTAGAATTTAGCCTATTGTGAGATCCCATATCGGTTGGGGGAGGGGAACGAAAGATTTCTCACAAGGATATAGAAACTTCTTCCTAGTGGATGAGTTTTAAAACCATGAGGCTAATGACGATACGTAATGGCCAAAGTGAACAATATTTGCTAGCGGTGGTCTTAGGCGGTTAAAAATGAGATTAGAGCCAGACACCGGGCGGTGTGCCAGCGAGGACACTGGCCCCCAAAGAGGTTGGATTATGAGATCCCACATTAGTTGGAGAGGGGAACAAAAGGGGAATGAAATATTTCTCATAAGGATATAAAAATTTCTTCCTAGTGGACGAGTTTTAAAATCGTGAGGCTAATGGCGATACGTAATGGCCAAAGTGAACAATATCTGTTAGCAGTGGGCTTAGGCTGTTACAAATGGTATTAGAGCCAGACACTGGGCGGTGTGCCAGTGAGAACGCTGACCCCCAAGGAGGGTGATTGTGAGATCCCACATCAGTTGAAGAGAAGAACGAGAGGGGAATGAAATATTTCTCATAAGGATATAGAAACTTCTTCCTAGTGGATGAGTTTTAAAACCGTGAGGCTAATGGGGATACGTAATGACCAAAGTGAACAATATCTACTAGCAGTGAGCTTAGGCTGTTACAAATGGTATTAGAGCCAGACACCGGGCGGTGTGCCAGCGAGGACGCTGGCCCCAAGGAGGGTGGATTGTGAGATCCCACATCGGTTGGAGGGGGAACGAAACATTCCTTATAAGGGTGTAGAAACTTCTCACTAGTGAACGCATTTTAAAACCGTGAGAGTGGGGCCGGCAGCGAGCCAGTTTTTTTTTTTTTTAATGGTTAAGCATGTGATAGAAAATTCTATGAATCTATATTCAGTAGCTATTGAGGTTATTTATGTAGCTGGTTCTGAATAATTAGATGATAAATGGTAAAGTACGTACTGTCATAGCAAAATAAATTGTGATATGTAGTGTGGATCCACAACATAAATATAGGAAGTTCATTAAGAACAAGGGTCAACAATCTTCCTACTCCTAAATGCGATGGCTGACTGGCTAAATTCCCTTCACTTTCTTCTCTTAGCTGGTGGTTCAAGTGTTTCCTCGTCCTCGTCTTCGTCTTCATCCTCCTCTTCTTCGTCGGTGTCATCATCATCCTCATCTCCGTCATCGTCGTCTTCATCTTCATCCTCTCCACCATCTTCAATTCTTCCATTACCACTTACTTCTGGGTCATCCTCCTGATCACTCTCGTCACCTTCTTCTGCCGAGAAATCTTCATCGTCGTCGTCGTCTTCATCTTCGTCATTCACATCGTCGTCGTCATCTTCTTCTTCTTCTCCTCCGTCACCTTCCTCATTACCTCCAGCCCTTCCGTTGCCAGTTGCTGCAGGGTCATCCTCCAGATCACCGTCATCCCCTTCTTCGGCCGAGTAATCTTCACCACCTTCCCCACCATCCTGGTTATTTGCATCATCATCGACATCATCTCCATCTTTATCATCCTCTGTTTCACTGCCATCGATATTTTCCTCGTCGGGATTACTCTTAGCGTGAAGTTCTTCGAATGGAAATCTAAGAAAGTAGTATAAATCAGTTATCTCGGAACGAAGAATAGAAAGTAAGCAATATAAATGAAATGGAACTTTCATTACTTTTCCCCAATTGCAGCTATTCCTGGTTGAGCATTGACATCATTTAACAGATCTCCTACCTGGAAGGTGAATTGAGATTCAAAGTGTTCATCAACAAAATTACAAGCCTGCAGGTATCAGATATAGTAACAAATTCCAAGTATGGTTCATCAAAGAGTACAATCATTATACAGTGTTGTAAGACAAAATTTAAGAAAGATTTAAGAAAGATGAGTTAGGATGTGATGTCCCCATTGGTTGGGGAGGAGAACAAACCACAATTTATAAGGGTGTCGAAACCTTCTCCTAGCAGACGCGTTTTGAAGCCTCGAGGGGAAGCCCGAAAGGGAAAGCCCTAAGAGGACAATATCTACTGGCGGTGGATCTAGGCCGTTACAAATGGTATTAGAGCCAGACACTGGACGATGTGCCAGCCTTCTTGGTGGTGTGTCAGTATGGACGCTGGGCCTCAAAGAGGGGTGGATTTTGGAACGGTCCCTCATCGATTGGAGGAAGGAAAGAGTGCCAGTGAGGACGCTGGGCCCCGAAGGGAGGTGGATTGTGATATCCCACATTGGTTGGGGAGGAGAACAAACCACCATTTATAAGGGTGTGGAAACCTTCCCCTAGCCTTGGGCGGAAGCCCGAAAGGGAAAGCCCAAAGAGGACAATATCTGCTAAGGTGTGGAAACCTTCCCCTAGTAGACGCGTTTTAAAGCCTTGAGGGGAAGCCCGAAAGGGAAAGCCCAAAGAGGACAATATCGGCTAGTGGTGGATCTGAAAGGAAAAGCCCAAAGAGGCGTTTTAAAGCCTTGAGGGATCTGGAAGGGAAAGCCCAAAGAGTCGTTTTAAAGCCTTGAGGGGAAGCCCGAAAGGGAAAGCCCAAAGAGGCGTTTTAAAGCCTTGAGGGATCTGGAAGGGAAAGCCCAAAGAGGCGTTTTAAAGCCTTGAGGGGAAGCCCGAAAGGGAAAGCCCAAAGAGGACAATATCGGCTAATGGTGGATTTGGAAGGGAAAGCCCAACAAAGACAATATCTGTTAGCGATGGATCTGGGCTCTTAGATAGGATGAAAAAGTTCTTAAGGATTCTGACATAACTCTAAATTACTTCCCTTGCACATAGGAAGATCTTAAGGATTCTGACATAACTGTAGATTACTTCCATTGATTACAACAACAAAAAAGGAAACTGTCCACAAGCAATCAGAAAGAATAAGCTGTGTTCATCAGACACTAAATTCTATAATGAAGCTTCAACAAACACCACCAAGCCCCAAGGATAGCTAAAGAGATAGATAAAGTTAAATAAAGTACACACAAATTTCAAAAGAACCATATGAAACAGTAGCCATTCCACAGTAAGGGCAAATTCTGTCCCGTTTCTAACTACCATCTCCAAAACAGGCGGGATTTGCCGAATTCAAACAAAGTTTCCACAGAATCTAAAGATCTTCACAAGGAATTTCGGATACGATCTAAATAAGGAATGGTCAAAGCCTGGGGAAGAAAACTTAATCGTCGTCACAGTTTGAAAACCAGTTCTAAATTAAACCACTAGAGACACAAATACTTCTCTCCACACACACACAGACTAGTCAATGCTCAAATTTTCCAGCTGAAACTTCCCGCCTGTAGCAATTATAACTCATGAATAAGCAAATAACTTCAAACAACGAAGGAGAAAGCTTGTAAGCTGCGAACATAGCGAAGAAATGGAGAGAGCCATAAAATTCAAGCTCCAACGAGCAAAAATCAGAACCAGAAACCAGTAGAATCCACAACAAGCGAAACGCATCAAAGAAAAAGCCAAAACAAAACACTCACCGTGGTGAGAATCCAAGCGAGAGAGTTCACAGCAGTCAAAACAGACTCCACCATCAGCGCTTCCAAAACAGTGCGAAGCCACAGAGACCTATCATCCACGCAGCAGCCAACGCCCTCCAACTCCATAGCCATGGAAAACAAGCTCAAAAATGACGATCGAACACGCAGAAGAACAAGGTGGAAACGAAGAGAGAAGAAGAGAACTTGCAGAACGAGAGGAAGACCTTGAAGGAAATGAACGAGGGGAAGAAAGCCGATGGGTTTAGTGGTCCGGTTAGAGTAAACCCTAGGGTTTGGTCCGATTAGGGCTTTTTTCCGTTCGCATCTGAAAATAAAAATAAAAATAAAATAAATAAATTGTTTTCCTCATTTTTTTAGGGTTTCTTTTTAATTCAAATTTTCGGGTCGGATCTTTTGTGCCGGTTATCTGTAATGACCCGATACACGCCATTATAATAAATTAATAAATTAATAAATTAAACATACAATAAATAATATCTAATTAATTAAAATAATTAACATTCTAATTTAATCCCTTATAAGCTAATCAAAGCACATTAATCTGACCTTTTACCAACTGATATTGACTATTTTTATTTATAAAAAATGGGAAAATGGTTATTAAAAATGTTAATTATTATAGAATCAAATCAATTTTGGACATTATTTATAATATAATTTAAGATAAATATAAAATTACCATTATAAATCAACATATTTATATTATTTATGCATTTTTTTAAAGACTTTGAATAATTACAATTGTATTTAATTTAATTTTCCTATTATTTTTTTTAGTTTTTGATTTTTTTCCGACCCTTTCATAGATCTCTAGGGTCGAGCTAGAAATCTCGAAAGAGAGGATAATACGAGATATAATTTCAATATTATTGTAACCCGTTTTTATTTGCTACCATAAATATAATTTTTTTTTATTTATTTAAAAAAGGTTAGATATCATATAATAAAAACGGTTAAAAAAAAAATATATTTTTTTATAAATTCATTAAATAATCTAAAAGGTTGAGAAATTAAAAGATCAATTGATAATTATCTGTTTTTTTTTAAATAATTGTTTTTTAAAATCAAATTAATATTTGAAAACTTAAAAAAAAGAGTTTTAAAATTTTATTTTTTATTTTTAATAATATAACTAAGATAAAAATTGATAATTAAAAAAAAAAGATGGAAAAAGAAACAAATTAATGTAAAAAAAAAACTATAGTAAAATATAAATTAATTAATTTGTTTAAAAAATAATTAACTAACCACTAACTAATAATTAAAAAAGGAATAATATTAAATTATTATAGTTTTTTCTGATAAAACTATGCGGTTCATAGACGGCTTGGATTTTCTCTCTCTTTCTCTCTCTTTCTCTCTCCTCCCTTACAGCCACCGTCCACGCGGTCAACACTCACGGACGGCGACGACCAGTTTCCTCCCCTATGGCATTCCCGGAAAAACCCTAAATCCCCAATCTCTTCAATTTCCATTCTTCTATCTTCAATTCGTTCGAATCCCTCCGATCTTGCAAACCCTAGACCCACCGGATTCATTATTAACACGCAGTTCCTAATTTTAAAATCATGTCTTCGGAAATTGAGGTCGTCGACGAGGTTCAATCGCGGGATCACGAGCCCTCGCAACCTGCTTCTGCTTCTGCTTCCACTGCCAATGGAGAAGGTGAAGAGAGCCTGAGGAATGACGTTTACACGGCTGCAGCTTATGGCGATATGGAGAAGCTTCAGAGATTGGTCGAGCGCGAGGGTTGCTCCGTTTCTGAGCCCGATGGCCTTGGCTACTATGCTCTTCAGTGGGCTGCTCTTAATAATCGCACTGCTGCTGCTCGTTATATCATTGAGGTTTGTCTTTCCATTCTGCGTTTTTGTGCCTGTGGGTCGTATGGAAAAATTGATTTCCTTCCTTCCTGCATTCAGACCACAGATCCCTTTTTTGTTTGAATGGATTTTGCTTTTACTTTATCTGCCTTTGGGTTTGAACAATTGTGTTTTTATTAATTATCCGATTGGCTTTGGGGAAGCTTGCTTTGGGTAATCGAGGATTAGCATGCTCTCTCAACTGCCTTTCTCTTGTTTAAGTGAATTAATGAATGGTAGTTTCTAGAAGGAATGTCTGGGAAACATTGATTTTCAGTTGTTGAGAAAGCAAGCCAAAGAAATGAAAGAAAGGAAAGGCTTTTAGTTTTGATTTTCTATCTGGTTCTCCCCTCCAAAGTGAAAATATTTGGATGGGTGTGGCAATTGCTAGAGGTTTTAAATGATGTCTGTACCTACAGAACGGAAGCACAAGCTGTAAACTTTGTCTTTTCATTTGTATTAGTTGTTTAGTACATTTGGTATTGGATCATTTCCAGCATGGAGGCGATGTAAATGCAGCAGATCATACTGGGCAAACAGCCTTACATTGGACTGCTGTTCGTGGAGCCATCCAGGTTGCTGAGGTTTTACTCCAAGAGGGGGCTATAGTCAATGCTGCTGATATGTATGGTTATCAGGTCATATTTATTTCCTCTCCAGCAACTAACTGATCGTTACTTTCTTTAATGTTCCTGTTCATGGATTTATATGGCCTAGGGTAGGAAGAAACATTATAATATTTTTGTGTAGCATAAAGAGTTAGTGTAGTCCCTTGTTCTTTTGGATTGGAGTCGAGCATTGGTATTCTTTTGTTCGGATTTGTTATTTTATATGCCCTTGTATTGTTTCATTTTCTCAATGAGAGCTTGGTTTCTTACAAAAAGAAAGAAATGATGAGCAAGACGTTCATGGACAGAAATTTATGTTTTTTCTTGATTTCCTGCTAAATTGTGTGAGAAATAAATAAATCTGACACTAATTTCTATTCAGAAACTTATTCCCGAACCATTAACTAGGTAATGCCAATCTTCTGTCTTGAATAGTAGCTTTCTAGCTACTGTTTGAGGCATTCTTTAACTATTAAAAAATTGTTCAATATTGAATGGATAGTCAGTACATCAAATAAAAGTCGCCTTCTAGCATACTGATGGTAACTATATGGACGTGATTGCAGACAACCCATGTTGCAGCTCAATATGGTCAGACGGCTTTTCTCTATCATGTTGTTTCAAAATGGAATGCGGACCCTGATATTCCTGACAATGATGGGAGGAGCCCGTTACATTGGTAGTAGTTTTTTTACAATGCTTCCGATTGAGAAAGTTGCTGAGTTGTATTGTTCATATTTATGCACATATGGTGCTTATAAATGTGGGATTTTGGGTGGTATTGTTTAATTATCATGTGTTATCTTATTTACTATTTGGATTTGTGCTTCTCATCCTATTTGTTTTTGTAGCTATAATATAATTGGTAATCCCCATTTTGATATGGTCCTTGAATTCTTGCGCTATTTTATGCACTACTATTTCTTAACCATCAATGAGTGTTGTGCTAAAGATGTCTTTTAATATATTCTGACAAATTCTTTTAGGAATTATATTTTTCTCGTTGATTTTTTCATGTTTTCTTAGGGCTGCGTACAAAGGTTTTGCTGATTGCATACGACTTCTCTTGTTTTTGGATGCATATCGGGGACGCCAAGATAAGGAAGGTAATGTTTGGAGGGCTTGAAAAGCTTCACTGAAGAAAAAAGCATGCTTTCTAGTTTAAATATAATGCGGAAACTTCTATTTATATATATATATATATATATATATATATATATATATATTTTAAGAAGAACAATAGTTTTAGAGCTCATGTTTCCTTCTTTATTATTTCAGGTTGCACTCCTCTCCATTGGGCAGCTATTAGGGGCAATTTGGAGGCATGTACAGTTTTAGTGCAAGCTGGGAAGAAGGAGGATTTGGTGGTGACCGATAATACTGGCCTTACGCCAGCACAACTCGCTTCCGACAAGAATCACAGACAAGTTGCATTTTTTCTTGTATGTTGAAACCAAATCAGTTTCTTTACTCTTGAATTATTTTTCTTGTTTCCAAATTATTTTTCTTATTTTTTGTTATTTATTTGATAATATTTCTATAACTCTCTGATTATGTTGGGGGTTTGCATGTAAATGATAGCGAGTTTAAAGGTCATTCTTTTATTTCTTTTCGTTCTTCCTATTATATCTGCCACCTCATTTCTTCTTTAAGTCAATTTTTTAAAAAGATATTTCTCTAGTTTGCACTTGTTATTTTACTGAAGTTGACTTCGTATTATATCCAAAACTATTGAATGTTACAAACTACCATGTGAACTCTTTATTGAACCAGCTGTGTGCTTGTGTTTTTTTTTTTTTTTCCCGTTTCTTTTAGTAATGTAGATTTTATGTTATATTTTTGGTATAAGATTCTAGGAAAACGGCGTAACTTCGGCATGAAGAGATTTTTGTTTTGTTTTTTCATTCTGAAAAAAAGATTTATATATTTTAATTGGTCTATACATTTATATATTTTAATCTCTTCTATTACTGTAGGATTTCTCATCTTCCTTTTCTTGTGACCATTTTTCTTTGCTGAAACTTTGTTTCTTATATACAAAGAAACTAAATTTTTTCTGCTTTGAATTTTCAGGGAAATGCTAGAAAGCTGCTTGACAAACGTTGTGATGGAAATACCCGCCTTGGAAAATTTTCAAAACTCGGACTTGCTCCTGTACTTTGGTGTTTGATCTTTCTGTTGCTGGTGACATATATTCATTCCGTCGTTTTGGGTATTTCCATAAGCTTCACGTGAAAGTTAAGAACACTTCTCTTTGTCTCTTTAATAATTAATCTAATTTGTTTTGCATTTTTAAAACAGCATCAAATCTCCCAAAGTTAACGGCTGGCTTAGGTCTTCTTGCATGGATGGGTGTTCTTCTAGCAACTACTGGTCTGCTCATGTTTTATAGATGTAGCAGGTATGGAAACTTCCCTGAAGACGGTTCATTCTTTTTGTTGTCGAATATTTATAGATTGTAACAACGAAGCTTGATTTATTTGCTAATAACAGCTTGTTCTTTATGTTTAATTAATCTTCAGCAAAGATCCAGGTTTCATTAGATTGAACATGCATGACTCTCAGAGTATGAAAGATGATGTGAGTTACTTATTTTCCTCTTAGTATCTGTCCTTAAATAATGAGAGTAACAATTTTCCATACTTCTTTCCTCCTCTTCCAGCATTTGTTTCTGTAAAATTTTAAAAGTTTCTACTTTATTGTTACAATTGAGCAGTCTTCTTTCTTGACTGTAATCTGTATGCCAAAGGTGAAAGCTTAAGTTTTTTATGTTCACATATCTTTCCATTAGGAACCTTTGTTGAAGATCGAGGTCAACAACCCCGCTTTGCTGGCTGGGAATTGGTCTCAGCTCTGTGCTACTTGCAAGGTGCGTTCTGCTTCTGAATTTTGAAGATCGTGTTTTCATTTCTTTTTTACTTGTCTAATTTATTTTTGGTATCATTTTGTTACATTTTTAACTTGATTTGGTAATCATGCCTAGATTGTCAGGCCTCTTCGTGCTAAGCACTGTGCAACTTGTAATCGATGCGTTGAACAATTTGATCACCACTGCCCTTGGGTATCCAATTGTATCGGCAAGGTACGATATCATTTGTGAAGGACATTTTTGTGTTAGTTCCTTGATTTTAGAAGTGAAAAATAACCTATACCATTAATCTAAAGAAATAATGCCCTCCAAATGACTTGATACTTAGCTAGGACTGATGTAAACGGCTAAACTGGGGCCGTTGCTATGGAAGCTATAAACTATAATATTAACAATTATCATTCTTTTTTTTTCATCTCTTCATTATCAAGTTTATTAGGGTGGTGGCTCACGTTAGACTGCAATTATTTATTTTTAGAATTCAGAAATTAGATTTCTTTAATATAGCAAATAATTAATAACTGGAGGGTGAGCGCTTCTTCGATAATGTTGTTTACCAAACTATATCTTGGCATAAACTGTCTAATATTTTTAGTTATATCTCCTTCATTGTAATATCGGAAGGCCTTTTATAAACATTATGGACATTATATTCCTTTTGTAAATTTCAACCATCAATGAAATTGTCTTATGAAAAAAAAACGTTGTTTCTAGGATAACATTGCCAAGTAGTCTTCTTTGTATTAATGGCTGCTGTGTGCGTTTGGTTTGTACATTTGCTTTGATAGATTCATACAATCTGAGATTTAATTAGGCTACTCAATATTTGACACAGAAAAACAAATGGGATTTCTTTATATTTCTCGTTCTGGAGGTTTCAGCAATGTTGATCACTGGAGCAGTTACTATTACAAGTATGTTCAAATGACTTTAAACATTGAGTTATATCTGTAATTTGTCTGGTGGTGTCCCATGTGCACTCTTTGACAATAAATCTTTCTCAGGAGTTGTGACCGATCCGTCCTCTCCATCGTCTTTTGGAGCATGGATTAACCATGCTGTCAATCATCATGTTGGTGCTATATCATTTCTCATGGTTGATTTCTTCCTCTTCTTTGGTGTGGTAGTCTTAACAATCGTTCAAGCATCTCAGGTATTTTCTATTTTACTACTCGTTGAAACTTTAAATTTGGCATGTTCGTTATGTGCTTTGCTTGGGTTTCCCATTCCATCTCGGTGCGTAATAATGGAAAGTTTTCTTTGATGTATCCAGATATCTCGCAATATTACTACAAACGAAATGGCAAATGCTATGCGGTATAGTTATCTTCGTGGCCCCGGAGGTCGGTTTAGGAACCCTTATGATCATGGAACCAAGAAGAACTGTACAGATTTTCTGATTAATGGATACAATGAAGACGTGGAGTATAGTGAAGTACCGTCACATTCAGAAGAGATGGAAGCAATGTCTGTACCGATGACTTCAACCTTGCAAAATGGGGATGCTTGTTCTCACCACACCAATGGAAGCAACCACGTAGCAATAAATGTGAATTCTAAGAATACAACTAGCCATCACGGCCATTCTCATTCTTCAAATTGTAATCACACTAACCATGGAAAAGCTAAAAACAACAGTGTCCCATTGGGCTTAGGTCTTGGCCTCGGGCGTTTATCGACTCGCTCAGTAGCAGCATCATGATGGTTATTATTGTTTAAGCGATTCCGGAGTTAGTGCTTTGTATCATGTTAATATATTAAACATTAGATTCAAATGTCCAATTATGGTTCGCACACTCCTTCACGAGATCACCTAAAACTTTATGTCGAGTACTTGATTTCGGATATGCTGTTCTTTATACAGGTTCTGGCACACATGGTGTGTAGAAAATGGAAGGTATCGCATCTGGAACTTCATCTGCATGGAACTAGCTGCTTGTATATGAAGTGAACATAATCTTGGTGAGGCTTCTATTCTGGTTCCAAGCTATATTGTAGATGCTCTTCCGTAGGCATGAACTTATTATTTTGTTTGATAGAGCTTTCACTGCCGTTCGAGAATATCTTGGTCTATTGTTTTCTTGTTTAGATATGTTTCTTGTAATAAATCCTTTTGTGTATAGTATAAAAGTTGGTCCCGTTAATTGTTCAAAACTTGATCGATCGTTTGTGGATGTATATGATGAAATGATGTAAAATTCACACGAATAAGTGCAAGTATACACTGTCACAAGTAGCAAGTAATGAGTAAATATCGAATTCTACATAGAACTTATCTAACTTTTTGAATAACACGAAATTAACGAGAACAATGATCTCTTTCAAGGTTAGTTTTGTTTGTCTCTAAATAGCTCTACCATATCCAGAATTTAACATAGTATTATTTACATAACATAAGCCCTGTCAAGTGTTTCTTAAGCTTTCTCAGAATTCATCAGTGAATCCAATAGAGCCAAGTACTCTGTGATGGCTTCTCCTTCTTTTGTTACATCCATGTCGTAATCTGATACAGCACTAGCCCCGTCGAGTTCTCTGGCAAGTTCGCTTTCCATCTCAGAGTCTCGGTTTTCTTCGACAGTAGAAGGGCCTTCCCCATTATCAAAGTTGTCTAACATGTCTTGGATTTCTTCAATGTTTGAAATGGAGGAGCTTGCATACTCGGAAGCCGAGACTGTAGGGACCGAGTCGGGTTGCCCATCAACCGTAGATTTAGTATCGGGCAGTGATAATAAATTAACTGCTTGCTCTAAGGAGCCACCAGCCTGAAAAGCTGCAATGGCTGCACAAAGTAACAATTTGAGAACATTACTGATTGAATTGAAATCTCTCAATGATATAAGATCAACAAGTTTGGTTTCATTAATAAAAATAACATAGGTACCCCTTGTTCTATCAAACCCCATGAGAACGAGCTTATCGACTGCAGCATCGGTTGTTTGACGCTGTCGTTTCCTTTTCCTCGACTCTACAGCATTCTGGAATTCATGAAATGAGTTAAATTCCGTTAAAGTTCAAACAAAAAGATCAACTCACAGTAAGGATACAATCCAAGACACCTGAATAACAGAGTTAGTTTCTGGATTTATCAAATCATCCAATGCTTTTTGTAAGTCATTCTCATTTCTTCTCAAGGCTTCAGCAGCCAAGTTTTTTTCATACCTGAAAAACCAAGTCAGTTTTAACGTGAATGATAACTACGAGGACGCTCATACTGACTGCTGGCATATATAATTGCATCTCGATCGATAAAAGTTCTCACGAATCACAATGTCGTGGTTTGCTAAAGAATTTAATCAAAGAAGCTCTCACCAACATCAAACCTAAAATGAGATATCTTGTAAAGATGAAAACATACCCCTATTTGTTGTGGAATAAGAATCCAATGCCATAATTCAACATGAATCCATGATGCTCTAAGCTTAAACTAACCTGCCTACCTTCCAACTTTTCCTAGTAAACTACATAGTGAATCAATTCGTGGAACGGGTAACAAACAGTGAAGATAGAACCTAAGAAACTATGCTTTTTTCTGCCATTTTGGAACAAGAGAACAACATTGGTTAGTCTACTTACCCTATAGATGCCAGTTCTTTCAATCTCTGAAGATCAACAGCTTTCTTGGAGGGTGTCATTCCATACCGTTTTTGCTCCCTGAAAATTTTAATCACGTTATCAATACTACAGATCGATTATAACCTTCCGGACGAAAATAGAAGCTAGTTTTGCTAAGAATACGTGCTTGATTTCCTTCTGGCGTTCGATATCCTCTTCCCGTTTTTTATCTCTCTTTGTTCTTTCCTCAAAAAGGAAATCAACAGCCTTGCATACATCTTGATGGCACATGCGCAGTGCTCTCTTTGCTTCTCCTTCCTTAAAGCCCATGTCCATTACATGGGATAATGCTTCATCTGGCACTTGTAGCTGAAATTTAAAGAGGTTGTAAAAAGTTGCATAGAAATACAAGAAGCCGTCTTTAAATATCAATATGGAACTATAGCTATGATTACAACTATAGCGGCATTCAATAACACACCCTTCAGTGCTATAAAAATATGATCGGCTTGATCCAACCAATTCAGTAATGTGATAAACTAACCTGAGAATATTTCATTTGTGCTGAGTTGATCGCTTCCCGGGCCTTATCGAACATACAACTGTGGTATGCAGCCACCCCTTCCAGGAGCTCCAGTCTCAAATGTCTGACATGATAAGAAAACTTGATTAGCTTGAATCTGGAAACCTATCCCTCAGACTATTGGCTGGCTGACTTACAAGGCAAGCTCGGGATGACAACCAGCTTGAAGGAGTCGAACTCGGGAAGAGTCCTTCCCATGAGCTCGTTCAATTCCTTCTCTAGCTTTTGCAAGGCGTAATCCTGCATCCGAGAGCCACTTGATGTCTTTTAGCATGAAATAGCACCACACCATGTCTATTTGAAGAATTGAGACGTTGTCAACAAACTGACAGAAAAAGGGTCAAACTCAGTCAGCAAGCTAAAACCCTGATGGAAACACCACCTTCGGATACATACAGAAGAAAAGGCAAATGATTAAAATCTGTATACTTCACGTAGTCTCAACCCAATATCTCAAATCGTCACCATCATAAACAGCACCGAAAGGAGTCTCGAAGTAACTAATAACATATAAAACATCTAATAGCAAATTAAGTTGAAATGTTATCAATAAATAGTCGAGGATAAGTTTGTCTGAGTGGCATCTGTTGTTGGACAAGTAACTTAGCTTCTTCTTTCACGAGTTCAAATAACTTAAGCAATGAGCCTGGGAGGGGGGAATCGATCAGGGAACAAAAAAAACTTGAGGATAAAGAATGACTCGTTCACCTCAATGAGTTTTGGATTGCAAAGAGAGAAAGCCTCCTACGAAAGAATGAAACCCACATTGATTAGTATTCTCTCATAACAATAAAAAAATTACTGATGTCAATATCTAGTACAACCTTAGGATAATCGAACCATAAACCGTGTTTGAGCATCTAGAATTTAAAGATAAAGAAAACAACAGGAGAATTGATATAGAGAAGCAATGGAAGGTAAATGATTAAATTCATCCAAAAGTAGGAAATGGCCTTGAAAGACCAGTCGTAGGCATTAGAATTTGGAATCATTGCACACTCGAAGAAGAGCATTTCACAATTAGTTATCACCAATAGAGAAATGAATAAATGTACCCAATCCAGCAGATAAATCATACTGGATTTGTAAACAGGCCAAGCCCACCGCTAACAAAGTTTGTCCTTTTTGGGTTTTCCCTTTCGGGCTTCCCCTTAAGATTTTTTTTTTTTTTTTTTTAAAACACGTCTACTAGGGAGAGGTTTCCACACGCTTCTAAGGAATGCTTTGTTTCCCTCTCCAACCGTTGTGGGATCTAAAAATCCACCCCCTTGAGGGCCCAACGTCCTCACTGGCACACCGGCCAATGTCTGGCTCTAATACCATTTGTAACAACCTAAGTCCACCGCTAGCAGATATTGTCCTCTTTGGGCTTTCCCTTTCAGGCTTCCCCTCAAGGTTTTTAAAACGTATATACTAGGGAGAGGTTTCCACACCCTTAAAAGGAATGCTTTGTTCCCCTCTCCAACCGATGTAGGATCTCACAGGGTATAGTTTATTTTCTTTCATTTTGTAATCATCTTTGGGGGGAGATGTTCATGTCGATAAATAGTTTAATCTTCGTTTTCATCTTAAATCATTTGGATCTTGTAGCTAATTCTTAAAACAAAGGGGAAAACAGCTAATATTTCGTAGATAATATTGAAGACAATTAAAATGATCAACCAGTAACATACCTCTCCCATGATGAGTACTTCTAATGCTTCTTTGTAATTTCCCTTTCTTATAAGCTGCTTTGCGTTTGCATGAAGCATCAAGCCCATCATGATTGCCCTATTGAATGGACAAAATTCAATCACTGAATAACTATAAATCCTAACATTTGAGATGAGGATTCGCATCGTGAAAGCAATCTATCTCTTACCTTTGATCAGTTTCAGACCCCAAATTAACTTTCTGTCCACTTTGATCCTCAAGTTCTATATTGAAATCTTCAACTGGGAGGAAACCATTAGCATGTCTCTTGGCTAAAGCAGTGGCAGCTGCCCTGTAAATTTAGAGAAGATGCCAGAAAATGAGATAAGAAGATATCCTTAAAACTCTTCACAGTGACTCATGATCGACTTGTGGGGAAGAATACCCTCCAAAAGTTCATTGTCACTCAATAAAAATTGCTTTTATAACGGCCCAAGCCCACTACTAGCAGATATTGTCCTCTTTGGGCAACCTTTCGGGCTTCCCCTCAAGGTTTTTAAAACGCGTCTGGTCGAGAGAGGTTTCCACACTCATATAAAGAATGTTTCGTTCCCTTTCCAACCGATGTGGGATCTCACAATCCACCCCCCTTCAGGGAACAACGTCCTCACTGGCATACCGTCCAATGTCTAGCTCTGATACCATTTGTAACAGTCTAGGCCCGCCCAATGCTAACAGATATTGTCCTCTTTGCATTTTCCTTTTCGGGCTTCCCCTCGAGGTTTTTAAAATGCATCTACTAGGGAGAGGTTTCTACACCTTTATAAGGAATGCTTCGTTCTCCTCCCCAACCGATGACTTTTGATTCCTGAACTAGATGCTTTGCTTCCAAAATCAACTGTTAAAAATGCCTCATAATACTCATAGAACAACTGAAGCAGATATCCAAAAGCTGAAGAAAAATTTTAAAAGATGAACATGATATCTATTACCATCCCAAAGATTGGTTTAAACCCCACCTTGCAATACTAAAACTCAGAAAAGCAAGCCCATTAACGCAAAAAGCTCTCAGAAAACAGTCAATTTCATCATGAAAGCAACCATTTATAAGACCAAACATCTCAAAATCTAGCAACCATTTTGGAACTTAAGACCACACAATGAGTTGATTCCAGAAGAAACTCAAATTTCAGTCGAATTAAGCAACCAACGATGGCACTGCACATGCTTAGTCAAAAGTAGATATGAACATAATCAGAGAAACAAAAAAGAGTCGAAGAATCACTTGACTCGAGCAAGCCTGTTAGAGCGTTCTTCCTCAGCCATCAACTCAACGTTGAGTGACTTGCCCTCTTCAGTAGAAACCCGCCTAGCAAGAATCCGTGAGTTGTTCTTAACACCCAAATCGAGTAGTTTCTCGCCTCCATCGCCATCTTTCAAGATTCTACCACCGCAAATCAAATTGATCGACTCAACCCCACAGTTCGATCGCCTTGCTATTTCCTCCCTCAACATGATCACAGTCCAATTATCCAGTTCCACGTCCAAAACACCACTCCACGGCCCTGAAATCTTCAATTTCGCCATGAAAATCGATCAAAAACAGGATGGATGCCAAAAGGGGTAGTGAGAAAGTTAATGATTGAAGCGATCGAGGTGGGTTTGATTGGGATTTGCGAGAAGGAAGCTAAAAAGGGTACGAGGAGGCTTTTCCTTGTGCATCAAGTTTTGGAAATTTCATCGAATTGGACTTAAATTCTTCGCCCCCAAGTTCGTTGATGCATGTTTGTGGCTTGAGGGCCCATTTCTCATCGCTCAAACCGCACTCTTATGGCCTTATCCAACGATCTCGACTTGAAGAGGGAAGAAAGATCCACTTTTGCAACTCAAATTACAAATTTATCGAAAAAAAAATCTATCCATTTAAAGGATTTTTATTTTTTATTTTTAAATTAAGTTTATAAATTATTTGTTTTGTTACTAATTTTTTTAGATATATTTTAAAAATTCAAACTATTTTATAAATAAAAAAAAAATCTTGAAATTTGGCTTTTTTTTTATTTAGAAAATATTGCTAAAAATTGTTAAAAACAAACATAATTCTAAAAAATAGTAATAAAAATGTTTGGTTCTTAAATTTTGAAAACAAATTCTAATTTTTGGGAAGAAATTGGTTGGTTGGATAGATATTTTAAGTATGATTTTATTTTAGAATGTTATTTCAAAATTCAAGTAATATATATATATATATATATATATATATATATATATATAACGCCCCACACCACAGGTACACTGCTAGCCGATATTGTCCTGTTTGAGTTTCCTTCAAGGGAGAAGTTTCTGCACTCTTATAAAGGGTGTTTTGTTCTCCTCCCCTACTGATGTGAGACATCACAATCCATCCTGGCTCAGCGTCCTCTGACACTCTTTCCTTTCTTCGATTGATATGGGACCCCGCCAAATCCACACCCCTTTGAGCCCAGCATCTTTATTGGCACATGGTCCGGTGTCTGGCTTTGATACCATTTGCAACGACCCAAGTCTCTCCCGAGCAGATATTGTCCTATTTGAGCTTTCCCTTTTTTCCACTCAAGGTTTTAAAACGCATCTGCTAGTGAATGTTTCCACAAGCTTGTTTTGTTCTCTCCCCAACTAATGTTGGACATCACAGTATATTAATTAATTAATGTTTATTTAGAAAAAGATGAAAAGTGTATTAAAAATTGTATAAAAAAAAAAATCCAATTCTATAAAATAGTAATAAAAATTTTGATTTAGCTTTTAAAATTTGAAAATAATTTAAAATGGTTGAGTGTTTCTTTTATTAAATTAATAATAAAAAAAACCGAAATATTTATTTAAAAAATTCAATAATATACTTAAATAAAAAAAAATACACATAAAATTTGAAAAAAAAAATCAAAATTATTCCTATTATTATTATTTTAATATCAACCTTAATATTTTGTTTTATTACTATTTAGTTTTAAAAATATTTTAATGTTTCAAATATACCAACTTTATTTTTAAAAAAATTCAAAAATATACTTATAATTAGTATATTACGTAACAATTCAATAAATTTTTAAATAATTAATATTCTCAAAATTTTAGAAAACAATTTAAAAATTTGGAGATGTTATATCAAAATTAAATTTTAAGTATTTTTAAAATAAATTAAGGATATCTTTAAAAAAAATTATAAAAATTTAATTTAATTAATTGTTTTTTTTTTTGTATTTTTTATTAAATTAGTGTTTATTTTAAATTACATTTATTTCATGGCATCCTTTTATTACAAAGGACAGCGATATTCAAAGTGTTCACTGTACGCCCTCCGACGCCTAACGCCTCCCCTCTCCGCCATGGCCGCTGGAGGATTCAGCGGCGATAAGAGAACCACCAGAAGCTCCGCCATTAACGCCGGTGCCGTCACTACCAGAAGCAAGGCCAAGAAATCCGACCGGAAGAACCACCTCAAACACCAACTGGTAACCCTCATCGAAACCACCATTTCTTCCGCTCACTCATTTCTCTCTCTCAACGATCTCCACCTTCTTCCCTCTCAAACTCTTGCCCTTGAATCCTTCATCTATTCCACTTCATCCTCTCTTCAAGCTCTCTCTCCTTGTCTCCCCAAACTTTCCCTGCATCCGCCGCCGCGGCAATGCTGGTTCCAACGCTTCCTCTCTGCGACGGCGGAGGTTGATTGCGACCCGAGATGGAATCTCTTCTTCCGTATGTCGAAATCGTCCTTCTCCCTCCTCCTTCGTCTTCTTTCCCCGATTCAAAGCTCCTCATCCACTTCCGTTCCGCCTGATTGTGCTTTAGCCGCTGCGCTTTTCCGATTGGCGCATGGCGCGAGTTACAAGGCGGTTGGGAGGCGGTTTGGGATCGATTCTGCTGACGCTTGCCGCTCGTTTTATGCGGTTTGTAAGGCTATCAATGACAAATTGGGGCATTTGCTTGAGCTTCGGTCTGATATTGATCGGATTGTGGTGGGATTTGGGTGGATTTCGCTTCCGAATTGCTGTGGGGTTTTAGGACTAAGAAGATTTGGGGTTGAAGGTGACCTTCTAGGTAAAGACGGATCGCTTCTGGTTCAGGCATTGGTTGATGCTGAAGGAAGGTTTCTGGATGTCTCTGCCGGATGGCCGAGCTCAATGAAACCTGAAACAATCTTGCGGCAGAGCAAGCTATATGCAGAAATTGAGAAATCCGGTGAATTACTCAAAGGCCCTGTTTATAATCTCGACGATGGAAAGCCCATTTCCCAATACTTGATAGGTGATTCTTGCTTCCCCCTTTTGCCATGGCTTTTGACACCATACATGAAACTGAACGAGGAAGATAGCTCTGGTTTTCCTGAGAGAGCCTTCAATTCCACACATAACCGTGCAATGGGGTTGGTTAACACAGCGTTTTGCAAAGTCCGAGCTCGGTGGAAGCTTCTTTCAAAGCCATGGAAGGAAGAATGTAGAGATTTCTTCCCATTTATTGTGTTGACTGGGTGTCTACTGCATAATTTTCTCATTAAATGCAGTGAGAAACTAGAAGAAGAACAAGATGAAGACGACGGAGCAAGTTGTTCTAGTGAGGAACAGAAGTTTGCTCTTTATGATGGTGAGACAGGAGACGATCGAGGTAAGGATATCAGAGATGCGCTTGCCTTGCACTTGAGTAGGCTGAGCTTCAGAAGATGATTGCTTTGAACATCTTGGTAATTTTCATCTTTCATCAGCTGTATATATTCCTTTCCAATCTTTTAGAATATTTTGTCAAAACTGTTGATTGGAAGTCCTAGTTTGCTAGAAGAATATCCATTTTCTTTTGTCAACTCATTAGCTTCGTAATGATTTGATTCTTCTTTTAGTTAGAGAAAGGATTTTTACACTTAACTACCATGAAAGTGACTTTGAAATCATTCTTTCTATATATAAAATTTCATAGAATCTACAGTTCATGATTTGTAGTCCTCGAGAATGCAATGTTTTTGACATGAATTATTCCATTAAGTGAATAGTAATCACTTTTTGAATCTAATCATCTTAGGAAATTAACTTGAACCCCATTTGGATTTGCTTTGGTTAAGCTTGATCTTGAATTATAGTTGAAGTGAAATAACTACTCCGTGTACTGCAAGGGCTTTTGAAATATTTCTAGGTGATTCTTTTTAGGGTAATAAAAAAGGTGGCCTTTTAAAGTTGTACAAATGTTACCATTCTTCATCACAGACCATCCTAAAAGGCTGAAATTTCTATTCAAAAGCATCTTTTTTTTTTTAACATCCCCTTTGGCTGGCTAAGTAACGTAACATGTTGAAAACTTTAATTTTAATGAACTAAAACACTATAATTCTTGATTATGTAGACAGGCACTTTACTTTTCTACTGTATGAACTTCTTTTATGTGCTTATATAACCAGAGGCCATGAATGCAATGTCATGTTGAACTCTGAGAAACAAGTACAAGTGTGATATTAAACTGGTAAGAACATATACTACACTTGATCTCAGGCCACCGAGAACGGTTTAATTACATGTTAATGTTGAGGATGGTTAGGAGAGAGTCCCTCGTTAGGGAATAATCATGGGTTTATAAGTAAGGAATACATCTCCATTGGTACGAGGCCTTTTGAGTAAAGGCACGAGAGCTTATGCTCAAAGTGGATAATATCATATCATTATGGAGGATCAGGATTCCTAACCATTCGTTTTGCGGTTAGTTTCTCATTGTTCTCCAGACTATAGCATATCAAATTGGAGGTTAGTTTGGCTTTATATACCTTCGTAGACCTCAATTCTCAACCCTCATAGCTCTTCTTTGCTTCTCTCAATCTTAATGAAGTTCTTGAATTATCCTATCATTACACGAGACTTCAGAGAATATGTTAAGTTCAATTTCATATATACTTCTATCTGGAGGTCTACCTGTTTCTATATAGGACCTTTCCACAGGCAAGGAGCTTAGATTGGAATATTTTTGCAGATTTTAAGTGGTTTTTAGGATAAATTCTCTGTGTTCAGGATGAACTGATATATTTATGTTATTCTAAACATCCAACAGGGTACCTTTTCTGTTTGATTGCCAACAAAGGTAAACTGAAAAGAGTTGTAGTTTATAGCATATAAACTGCATTTGTATTCAAAATTCATTTTTACAGGATTGGGAAACTTCAGAACCTGGCAGTTCAAAAGTGAAATGTTGAGCTCACAACCCCAGCTTCATTCATCATTATTCAAGAAGACTCTATACAGGCAGCACAAAGGATTTATTTTAACAGTTCCACAAGATCAAGCACAAAGTCTTCAAAGTATCAAACAAAACGTAGTGAAGCTTGAAAAATCATTGATGAACTCAAAAGGTACAAAATTTAACTTCTTTTGTCTTCAAACCTTGATCATTTTCCAAGGATTGATTTGATCCACCATATTCCTTTTGTATCTTTTGGGCCTTCATCTCCCTCTGGTGGAGGGTCTGTGTGTGTTGTCCTGCGCAGCTTGCTCACATCATAACCCTGTTCCTTAGCTTTCTCCACCAGCTGATTATATATCTCCTCATCCAAATGATTCTGTCTGCACAAAATCTGTCAAAAAGACACCACGAAACAACACGATTCATAAACCTTCCATCATCATAACTCAACCGTTAGAGACTGTTTAGTAACCATTCCCGTGAGATCCCATATCGATTGGATAGGAAAACGAAGCATTTTTGTATATAAGGATGTGGAAACCTCTTCCTAGCAGACATGCGTTTTAGAAACCTTGAGGGGTAGCCCAAAGAAGACAATATCTGCTAGAGGTGGATTTGGGCCGTTACAATTCCATTTTTGGTTATCTATTTTTAAAATTTATACTTATTTTCTTACCCATTCTTCACTTTCAAAGAAAGTTCGATTTCCTAATCAAATTCCAAAAACTAAAACGAGTTTTTCAAAACTACCCGAATAGTTATCATGTTAGAAGTCACGACCTTCCACAATGGTATGATATTGTCCACTTTGAGCATAAGCTCTCATGGTTTTGCTTTTGGGCGTCCCAAAAGGCCTCATATCAATGGAGATGTATTCCTCACTTATAACCCTAATGTGAGACTCCTTCCCAACGATCCTCTACATATCAAGCCAAAGATGTTAGAACACTTCACAAACAACATCCGAAACTCCCCATGGAATCGTAGGATTAGCAGAAAATGGGTAATTTCTACTGGGCTGACCAATCAAAGCATGGTGCTAATCACCATTAAGATACAACACCCAGTAATCTCCAACAACAGGAACGATAGGCATAAAAGGAGGAACATAGAATTTAACTTGGAGCTTAGCTTCATCACTATCAGGGTTGGCCTTAACAGCAGTACCCTCAATGAACCCTCTCTTGCCATCAACCCATGGTCGCCCCTCAGAGTGTAGGTCGCTCTGGTATTGGCTCCATTTCTGGGCTGGAACCTCGAAGGAAATGAAGCTATTTCGTACCATCGACCCATGTACCTCTGTAAGTCGACACCCTTCATGGCTTCCATCAATTTCTTCGCCATTGTTGAATGTTTGAGCTTCTGAGAGAGATCTGAGAGGGGTTTTGATTCTGTTTCTTCGTGCTTTGATTTGAATATATGGGTGTTGAAGTAGAAGATGGTGATCCGTTTTTAGATTTTTTAGTGCCAAAGTTTTATATTTAAGGCTTATTATTTTAAATCTTTTGAAATTAAAAAAGGAAAAAAAAATGATTTTTTTTTTTTTTTATTTTACTCATGTCAAATTCATAAGGAAGTTCATTTAATTCTACTTTTTTTATCCCACGTTTTAAACGATCGTGAGTTTTTTTTACTAGACATATGGGTCAAATTTAAATTTTAAAAATTAAAATGAACTCGAGATCTAAATGTGCTACTAAAAAACTTAATCAACCCGATGTATCATTTTATTTGGGTTAAATTGGTTAATTAAATTTTATAAGTTAGGTTGGAAATTGAGTTTTCAATTGAACCATTTTTAATTCGTTATTAATCTTAGGAATTAGATTTTTTTTTTCATTTTTAATTTTAAGATACAATTATACATACTATATTAATTTTAATTTTAATTTTTTATTATTATTTATTCTTCTATTAATATTAAAAATAAAACTTTAAGCTTTTAGAAAGTTATTTTAAAAAATATATATGAGGGTTGAATTACAAATCTTAATTTAATATTTTAAAATAAATAAATATTTTTCTTGCAATATAATGAAAATGTCGATTCATCTTTCCTGAAGCACTTTATCCCTAGATGTCCAATCAACTATTATGGCTCAACCCATTTTTGGGAGAACTAACCAGCTCTAGGTTCGAGTGGCATTTTACCCCTAACTACAACTCATCTGCTGATTCTTTACATCAGTCGGTTCGAACCTCCACTTAGTTTCATCCAAGCTTCATCCTGGTCATGGATAGATCACCCAGGTTCGAATCTATAAGCAGTGACAATTGCCCCATGAAGACTCGCTTTCGCTACGACTCTAGTGGGTTCCCTTAACCAAGCCACTGTCTATGAGTCGCCGGCTCATTTTTCATCGAAAATTTAAAAATATGATAGAAAAGTCGACCAAAATTTTCCATTTTTGAAATATATTGAAATAGGAACCTCTATTATTGATTTTGAAAAGTGTGTGTATATATATATGAGTGGTGGGGTTGGCTTTATTTAATTATTATCTCCTTCTCATAGCTATTGCATAATGAATTCAACTGAATTTAGAGGAAAAAATGGAAACTTTTTTTCTTTTAATGTTCATACACACCCACTTAATATTTACACCCACTTCTCCAAGAACAAATTGTAGCTACAGCTAAAGTTTTGTTTGTTTTTTTCTCTCTTTTTCTCCCCATTCATAGGTTTCAAACTTCCACAGCTGCAATTAGATCTCACTTCCTCAGTTTCTCACTAACACGCAAAGAAAACAAGAACCAAAACGGAAATTGGAAGATCTGGGTGCGCAATGTCACGCCGATCTGGGGCTTGCCTGCGCTGTTGTCTCGTGTTCTTCGCTGTAGTTTCTGCTTTGGCTGTTTGTGGACCGGCTTTGTTCTGGCGATTCAAGAAGGCTTTGCATTTGGGCGATTCCAAAACCTCCTGCGCTCCTTGCATCTGCGATTGTCCGCCCCCATTATCCCTTTTGAAGATCGCCCCCGGTATACTCTTTAATCTCTTCTTGGCTATCATTTTGAGAAAACGGATTCTCTTGTGGGTTGTTGCTTTGCATTTCTGTTCTTGTTGGCTTAGTTGTGGAATTTAGTGAGATTTACAGATACCCTTTTGGAGGATTTGGTTGTTTGATCTGTTTTCATTGATGATTTTGATTCTGAGCTGTTTGTGTTCTTTGTAAATGAGTGTGGAAGAGTTAACCCATCTTGGATTTGGATTTGTACTCCATTTCTTCTCTCATGTTAGGGCTCATAAAGCATGAACAAGGCATGTTCCAGCTTGAATTGTTGGTTTTTGTTAGGAAAATTTCCGGGAATTTGTGTTTTTCTTTACCTTCCTTTTGGAGTAACAGCACTGGGTCGGTAGTCGCCAATTTACTGTTCTTTTTGGATGCTTCAATGGCATTCGGATCTGAAATTATGAACTTCGATTTGTTTCTTACTCTTCATTTTGAGTTTTTGTTGACGTGGATCTCATAATCCACCCCCATCCACCCTCTTCGAAGCCCAACGTCCTTGTTGTCACTTGTTCTTCTCTCCAATCGATGTGGATGGCACACTGTCTGGTGTCCACTCCCTTCGGGGTTTAGCGTCCTCGTTGGTACACTACCTGGTGTCTGGCTCTGATACCATTTGTAACGACCCAAGCCTACCGCTAGCCGATATTGTCTTTTTTGAACTTTTCCTTTGGGGCTTTCCCTCCAGGTTTTTAAAACGTCTCTATTAGGGAGAGGTTTTCACACCCTTATAAAGAATGCTTCGTTCTCCTCTCCAACCGAGGTGGGATCTCATAATTCACCCCCCTTTGGGGCCAGTGTCCTCACTAGCACTCGTTCCTCTCTCTAATCAATGTGGCCCCCCTTTGAGTCAGCGTCTTTGTTGACATTTGTTCCTCTCTCCCATCGATGTGAAATCTCACAATCCACCCCCTTCGAGTCAGCGTCTTTGTTGGCACACTGCTCGGTGTCCACCCCCCTTCAAGGCTTAGCGTCCTTACTGGCACACCGCCTGGTGTCTTGCTCTGATACCATTTGTAATTTGTAACAGTCCAAACCCACCGCTAGCCGATATTGTCCCTTTGGACTTTCCTTTCGGGATTCCCCTCAAGATTTTTAAAACGCATCTGCAAGGGAGAGGTTTTCACGTCCTTATAAAAAATGTTTCGTTCTCCTCTCCAACCGACGTGGGATCTCACACTATACATCATGCATACTGTCTATCCTTGATCCACAACTGTTGAATTAGCCATGGCCATGTAGAATTGTTTCATAAATGAATATGATTCTGAACCTAATTCTGTTGTTTGGAAAAGGAAAAACCAGTTTCAATATAGAATGCATATAGCTCCCAAGGCTGGTCCTAGTAGCAAAAGTTCGAAATATTTGGGATAAATTACCTAAGGGTCTCGGGCTCGAGCCTCTAGGGGAAGCTCAGTCGCATGAAGTTTCTCCGTTGAGCATTGAGGCTCGATAACATGGCTATAAAAATGATTTATAGATTGCACATGGTTAGCCCAAGTCCACCACTAGTAGATATTGTCTTCTTTGAGTTTTCCTTTTCGGGCTTCCCCTCAAGGTTTTTAAGACGTGTCTGTTAGGGAGAGGTTTCCACACCCTTATAAAGAATGCTTCGTTCTCCTCTCGAACAGACATGGGATCTCACGTATTGTTTGATTTGTGTTCTTACTAGATTCATTGTTGCTTCTACACTAACACATCTTTTTTCTTGCTTCTTCTTTTATAGGTCTGGCCAATCTCTCTGTAACAGGTTAGAATTCATCCCTTCGAATTCGACTTCACGATGAACTTCCTGTCTTCATTACGTGAAAATCACGACGATGTTTTCCTAGCACTGTCGTGTCGCTTTTCATGGTTGACTGAATTAAACTATTTTTCGCTCAAATTTTATATTCTACCTTTTCTTCTATACAGGAGAATACAAATGGTATGTTTGAGCTACTTGCATGTTTTTTTTTCTGTTTTTTTGGAGAAATCTGTGCAGCTTTCATCACATTTTTCTCTCGTCATCTATTTCTACGACGTTAGATCTTTTGGAAGGTTTATTATTTACGTGTTTCGGGTTCGATGTTTTCGTTCTTCAACG